TAGGACCCTCTGTTGCTTTTTACAGATTCAGACTAACACAGCTACCCCTCTGATACTTGATTTTCATTAAATTTTTGGCTTGAGTGACTTAAACAAGGTGCACAAGCCTGCATGGCAGGTTCAGATGTGGGCTGGCGTACTCAGATCTGTCACTTGACCCCAAAGACATCCAGCATTTGGGCTGTGAGCCCTCAATAACCTGCTGTTATGGGGAGTTCCAGCCACCCCATGAAAGTCAAATCTGAGCGGAGAGCTGTGGACCCCCAAGATACACTATGGCCTGTGGGGCAGCACTGGGTTATTTTATTAAAGATAATGAAGGGGTGGAGGGGTTTGACTTGTACTTGTGCCAGTCCCTCAAAGTGGATTCTGGTGGTGTCAAGAATGCCATCTCTGCTTTGTACCCTTTGAGGGGACATCATGCTTCTCTGAGGCTTGCTAGCTAGGTGACATGGAAGGCTAAGGGAACCTGGGATACTGTGAGAGAAGAAAAAAAATCAAAAGGTGCAGGAAGTAATCTAGATTGTGTTGTGCTGAAGATAAGGGAAAAGGGTGAAATCTGGATTTATCAGGGTTTTGGTAGGGGAAGCGTCTGTTGATTTAGTGGGTGAGGAGAGCACGGCTTTTGGGGGTGGAAGTGATTTCTTTAGCATGCAGGGAGGGTTCATGGGGAGCCGTAGTATCTTGTGGGTTGGAAGGGAAGTGGTTGTTGCTAGGAGGAGCTGGGATAAAAGTATGTCAGAGCTAATAAAAGCAATAAGTAGCATACTTCTAATTTCATATGCACAGAATATTTTTGCAGTACTCCCTATCCTTGGCATAATACCTGAGGATAATCACATGTTCAATGACACATGAGAGCAACAGTTAATCTGTATCTAACCCTGCTCCTTTAAGGACTGGCAGGAAACAAGGGCATGTAGTTTCCAGAGCAGAGTGGGAACATGACTAGGTTGTGCATGTGAATCAGCAAATACCAGGCTAAGTATGTGTACAGAGTAGCTGTTCAGAGAGGGGGGCGTTATAATTAACTGCTACCATTTTCTGAGTTTTCGCACCAAAAAACAAACGGTGCAAAACTGGTGGAGCTCAGTTTTTGTTTTGAAAGTGAAATTTCTGTTTAAGCTTCTGAGGTATAAGGAAAAGAAATAATAAAAAAAGATTAAATTAGGAGTTTTTCAGTTGATGGTGTCCTCCTCCAAATGTGTTCCAAAAATGAGTCTCCCACATTCACCCAACTCTTTACAGTTTTAATAATAGTTTGCTGGTGTTACCCTAGGCACTCAGATACAGTAGTGAGGCTAAGCGCAGTAAGATAACTAGATAGTTTCTTAAATGTCTCACAACTAGGCATTTAATAATCACTAATAGAAAGCTGGCATACCTTACTGAGAAAAAGAATGCTTTGTGTGTGCCATCTTCAACCAGACACAATTCATTGCATTGTGTGGTACTTCTATATCTGCCTAACAAATAGACTGCACAGTCACATAAATGAGCTAATTTAATGAAAGGCCATCTGTAGCTCTTAACTATCCATGATAAACTCTCTCTTCTTATGGCTTCTGGATCATTGGCTGATGCATGCATTTTGGGGGAGAAAAATACCTAAGGTTAAAATTTACTAAAGTAATCCTTAAAAGCTGCAGGGATTGCTTAAAGTTATATATTTCACTTCCTCACCGTTAAGTCTTCTCTTTTCAGGATCACATGACCACCTCTCTTTGCATATTAGCAGAAATATAATTTTTCCTGCAGTCAGCTTAATGCAATAAAAACTGGTTTCTTGCTGCTTCACTAAATACAGAAAAGTCGAGACGAGGGATAAAGTTTTCCTTTCAGTCGAGAGCAAATTGGTCACTTGTGATCAGCATGGCACCCTCACTTTATATAATCTAGTAATAACAACGTTCAAAGGCATCCCATGCAGCATTTCTCTCTGCATTTCTAATGCACATGTCACTCAGGAATCTAGGCACCAGATACAAAATTAGGGGTTGGTTAATGTTTGAACAATGGACTCCATTTCTCCCTTCCTATTTTAAGCTGCCTTCTCAGGCAGGAATAATCTTAGTGGCTGTTTTCTAGGAGGATCCGTGCTGGTCCATCGCGTTACTCCTTCATAGGAGACAAACCTGATTTAAAGAGATGATGTGTACTCATCCCTGAAAGTGGCAGGAATGGGGCTAATCCTGTGGCAATAGTGGTGCGTAGCCCTCTATAGAAACCTCTGCCCTGAGATTTTCACCCTCATGTCTGTAAGCTGCATGCTTATCCAGCAGAGATGCCGTTATCTGTATGACATTTTTTCCAACTGCATGCACTGGACATGGTGCTATGTTTACAATGTACAAACAGTTCGAGCCGGTGTAACAACAGCTGGGTTTTGTACTATTGGCTGATTAGTGGACAGCAAAAGCACTTGTGTGTTAAGATATTGCCTACTGGAGTGGCTCTATTGCACAGACCTTAATCTCTGCGTAATAAGTAGAGGGTATAATCTTTGATTTAGAAAGGAGTCAAGGAATAAAAACTTAGCTGGGTCTTCAGTATCTTCATCTCTCATTCTCAAGACCAAAGTTCTTGAATAAGCTTAATTTATCCCTAGGGGGTATTATAATGCTGATAGATATTACTTTCTTGCAATTACTGCCTGATAGCGGTACAACATGCAATTACGATACATACTAAGATATCTTGTATGATGCATACTGAGATATCACAGGCAGGCTTGCTAACCTAGTGAGGAGGCCTTTAAAGTAGGTTTGCTGGGGGATGGTGACCTAAGACCAGAGGTAAGTGGGATACAGGGAGGAAACACAAGGAGGAGGGTGCAACAGGAGAGAGGCCTCCTGATCCCTACTGAGAAAGTAGGGCAATCGGCTAGTTATCTTAGGTGCCTGTACACAAACGCAAGAAGTCTGGGAAACAAGCAGGAAGAATTGGAAGTGCTGGCACAGTCAAGGAACTGTGATGTGATTGGAATAACAGAGACTTGATCAGGTAACTCACATGACTGGAGCATTGTCATGGATGGGTATAAACTGTTCAGGAAGGACAGGTGGGGGAGAAAAGGTGGAGGAGTTGCACTGTATGTAAGGGAGTAGTATGATTGCTCAGAGCTCCAATATGAAACATGCAGAAAAGCCTGTTGAGAGTCTTTGGGTTAAGTTTAGAAGCGAGAGCAAAAAGGGTGATGTCATGGTGAGTGTCTGCTATAGACCACCAGACTAGGAGGATGAGGAACACAAGGCTTTCTTCGGACAACTAACAAAAGTTTCCAGATCACAGGCCCTGGTTCTCATGGGGGATTTCAGTCACCCTGACATCTGCTGGGAGAGCAATACAGCAGTGCACAGACAATCCAGGAAGTTTTTGGAGAATGTTGGGGACAACTTCCTGGTGCAAGTGGTGGAGGAACCAACTAGGGGCTGTGCTCCTCTTGACCTGCTACTCACAAACAGGGAAGAATTAGTAGGGGAAGCAAAAGTGGATTGGCAACCTGGGCAGCAGTGACCATGAGTTCAGGATCCTGACCAAAGGAAGAAAGGCGAGCAGCAGGATATGGACCCTGGACTTCAGAAAAAACAGACTTTGACTCCCTCAGGGAACTGATGGGCAGGATTCCCGGGAGGCTAATATGAGGGGGGAAAGGAGTCCAGGGGAGCTGGCTGTATTTTAAAGAAGCCTTATTGAGAGCGCAGGAACAAACCATCCCGATGTGCAGAAAGAATAACAAATATGGCAGGCAACCAGCTTGGCGTAATAGAGAAATCTTTGGTGAGCTTAAACACAAAAAGGAAGCTTACAAGAAGTGGAAACTTGGACAGATCCCTAGGGAGATGTATAAAAATATTGCTCGAGCATGCAGGGGTGTAATTAGGAAGGCCAAAGCACAATTGGAGTTGCAGCTAGCAAGGGATCAGAAGGGTAGCAAGAAGGGTATCAGGAAGGGTTTCTACAGGTATGTTAGCAACAAGGAGGAGGTCAGTGAAAGTGTGGGACTCTTAATGAATGGGAGAGGCAACCTAGTGACAGATGATGTGGAAAAAGCTGAAGTACTCAATACTTTTTTTTGCTTCAGTCTTCACAGACGAGGTCAGCTCCCAAACTGCTGTACTGGGCAGCACAGTATGGGGAGGAGGTGAGCAGTCCTCAGTGGTGAAAGAACAGGTTAAGGACTGTTTAGAAAAGCTGGACATGCACAAATCCATGGGCTGCATCTAATGCATCTGAGGGAGTTGGCTGATGTGGTTGCAGAGCCATTGACCATTATCTTTGAAAACTCGTGGTGATCAGGGGAGGTCCTGGATGAATGGAAAAAGGCAAAAATAGTGCCAATCTTTAAAAAAGGGAAGAAGGAGAATCCGGGGAACTACAGACCAGTCAGCCTCACCTCAGTCCCTGGAAAAATCATGGAGCAGGTCCTCAAGGAATCCATTTTGAAGCACTTGGAGGAGAGGAAGGTGATCAGGAACAGTCAACATGGATTCACCAAGGGCAAGTCATGCCTGACTAACCTAATTGCTTTCTATGATGAGATAACTGGCTCTGTGGATATGGGGAAAGCAGTGGACGTGATATATCTTTACTTTAGCAAAGCTTTTGATACGATCTCCCACAGTATTCTTGACAGCAAGTTAAAAAAGTATGGATTGGATGAATGGACTATAAGGTGGATAGAAAGCTGGCAAGATCGTCGG